ACTCAGGCTTTCCCTCTGCTCAGGAGCAATGAATAGGGACCTGGATTCAATATAGCAAAGGACTGCACCAGGGGACTCTTCACAGACTGTCCTGCCTTAGGACAGATCACCTATCTCTTATCAGATGTTTTCTTTTTCACCTCCTCCAAAACATGAGTCTACTTGCATCAACTCTACCCTGTCTTTCGTGTTAGATATTCTCATCTTTGTATTCATTGAAATTCAGGTAGAAATGGTATTAGCAAGAGTGGTAGTAGCAGCAGTAGCATCTCGTTGTCTGGCTCTGTCTCTCTCTCCCTCTCTCTCTTTTTCTTTCCATCTCTCTCTCTCTCTCTCTCTCTCTCTCTCTCTCTCTCTCTCTCTCTCTCTCAGGGAGTTAAGGGGGAAACAATCCTAGGACAAACTGCTATCCCACCATTATCTGGTTACAGTTAATGTTCTGTGAACCAGTGATGTCAAACTCGAACAGAAACAGTTCCCTGCAGGCTACTTATTGATTCAGAAAACCACAAATTAACATTATCTATGTTATATCCTATTTTTATTTATGTTGTTGAATATTTCCCAATCATATTTTAATCTGGTTTTATAGCACTTGGGAGTTTTGCAGGCTATGAGTTTGACACCTTAGGATGACTGCACAGTGGATGAAAGGACTGCCTTTCACAACTGAAAAAAAATGGAATATAATCTCCTTTTTAGACTCAATGAAAGCATCTTTGTGATTATGCTCATAAAGGAAGATGGGGTGACATACACCTGATCCTAACTGTTGGTGGGTCTTTTTTTTTTTTAATACTAGGCCTCTATATTTCAAAAGCCTTCCATTCCATACAGCTTGGAAATTATGACTATCTACTATGGTAGCATCCACTAAAAAATATCTTATTGAATTTGCATGGGTCAATTTTATGTGGGCATCCATTTGTCTGTGAAAACGCTCTGGCTCCAATTAATTTAACAGGTTATTTGCTTAATTCTCAAGGATAGTGTGGAGTCTATATTTATAGTATGGGGAATTGTCATGTTAACTTATGAGTAATAGGAAGCTTCAGGTGCAGAATTCTGACTGCTTGGCAGTGTCTTTTTAGGTATTTGGTAGGAAGCAGATTTTTGCCACCTGCTAAGATATATCGTACAGTTTCTACCATTTACTTACATCATTTGTGTCAGTCAATAAGTCTAGGATCTGATTATTACTGGTAATATTAGAGACTGTATTTTATCCCATTCTCATCCTTTTGATTGGGTTCAGATAGAAACAGATATGTCATTTTTCTATTATTCTCCTTATATATTTATGTATAAAACATATATAATCCATAAAGGACTATTTGTGCAGGTGATAACTGCTTTTTGAGGTTAAATAAAAGTGTTGTGATTTAAGCTTAACCTCCTTAGGTTCAACGAAAGTATCCTGATGCAATTCCAGGACCACCTTCTTCTTCTTGTACATTATTGTACTTCTTATACATTATTGTACTTCTGGCATAGTGGTAGTAGTATGGCCAGTGAGGAGGAGGAAAAAGAAGAGAAGGAGGAAAAGGAGGAGAGGCAGAAGAAGGAAAGAGAAGGAGAAAGGAGGGAGAAGGAAGCGGAAGGAGGAAGAAGAAAGAAGCAAGAAGGAGAAGGAGAAAAAGGAGGAGGGAGAAGGAGAAGAACAGTGGAGGAGGAAGACAAGAAGCAGAAAATATCAAAACAAGAAGAACAAGAATAAGAAGGAGCAGCAAGTATAGTGGAAAGTGGGCTATTTATGGATTCCAGGAGACTTGAGTTCAAATCCTGACACATACTAGCTGTGTGACAAGTCACTTAATTTCTCTGTGGCCATAAACAACTCTGAAATTTTAAGTTATTGATGAGCTGCTGCCATCTGCCAGTTAAGAGAGTTTCCACACTGAGTTTTCCTACCTGATGATATCACACATCTAGACCAAATCAGTGATTATTTATGATTTATTTTAAATCTGATTCTTTATTATTATATTATTGTTGTTACTATGATTATTATTAAGCATGAATCTTCCCTATTAATGCCCTATGTTCAAGCACTCCCTTCTTCTCTCCTTCCCTTCTTTCTCTCCAGGTAAAAATATTAATATTTGTATTGGTTGGTATTTTTCAGATCTGTTCTCATTCATATTTTCTTAAGTTCTCTTTCTCTCTCATATTCTCTCACACTTTCTCTCTTTTTTTCTCTCATATTCTCATTCCTTCTTTCTCTGCCTCCTTCTCTCAGTAGCATTCAACTGAGCAGCACAAGAAACAGCTCACCAGACCTGGAAAACCAACCCTTCACCTTGAAATGTTGTAGATATTAAAGAAAATAAAATATGAACTTCGGTTTGTGAGAGAGGAGGAGGGTTCTATTTTTGAAATCACCTAAGGGGTTTGTTGGATGCAAAAAACAGAGAGGTTTCATGGTCCCTCCACATGCCTTCTCCAGTATGTGGTAACATCCAGAGAAGTAAACCAAGTCAATTGTATGGATAAGTAGTACTAGTCACTGGACAGTCTCCCTGTAATGGAGCCTTTTAATGGTAATATTCAAAGAGATCCACATGCGTCCAACCAATTAGCACAGACTGTATTTTGTTAAGGCAAATATGTCACATTTATTATTAATAGGCAACAGTATTCATAGCCATCAGGAGATGCAAACTGCTTCATAATTCAATTTTCTAAAAGAGAATGGATCCTCTTTCAAATTTTTTTTGAAAACCTGACTTGAATTTTTCCCCAATTCATATATAGTTTGAGATATACTAACTAATGGGAAAATTATCATTGTTAGTATTTCAATAGAATTTAGAGCTGGAAGGAACTTTAAAGATGTAGCCCATCTCCCTTACTGTATCCATAAGAAAAAGCAGGACATCTGACTTTTCTATACCTATATCACAGATTTATCTTTCCTAGAATAACTAATCTAACATTTCTCCATATATATTTGATCTTAATTCTTGATGAGATTATGGACTCTTAAGATTCAATTTCTTAAATTTATGGTGATTTTTTTAATGGCTAAAAAGCAAGGAAAAATAGGTCACTAGGTATTTTCTTCTGAGAACTTAAGTATTTAACAGTTTTGTGTGTGTGTGTGTGTGTGTGTGTGTGTGTGTGTGTGTGTGTGTGTGTTTTAAGTTTGCAGCCAGGTGGCTTGGGGAGTGGGGAGGGGGGGTATTTTGTTGAACACTGATTAAAAATAATTTCTTCTAAATGAGACCTGACCACAAAATGGTGCCATTAATGGGCAGGGACATTTTCACTAGAGAGGAAACCATGCCTGACTGACTTGCACCGCCCACAACACCAGGGTTTTCTTCTCTCCTCCCCACCCCCCTTTCCTCCTTCTCTTTTTCTTGTTCTTAATAGCAGGGTAAATAGGCAGCAAGTGAGGCCTAAATGTTTTCGGCCAAAAACAGAGTCCAAGCTCCTCTGAGAAAACATTTGGCCTCTGTGGTTTTGTAATATGTTCCAGAACACTGAGTTCACTGAAGAACATTGTGAAAAACTCCCATCTATTGGAATGATGCTGAGGAATGTTACAGTATCAGAAGTTCCAATTGGTCCATTTCCTGTAGGCCCATAATGAGGCTTGTAAAAAAAAAATTGTGCTATGTGGAAGTTCTCATGGGAAAAATGAATGGCAAGAAATCCTAGCTTTAAAAGAAACAGCTAATCTGCTAGTTTGATTGTTCTTCAAAACTTACACTGAACCGATGAGCCTAATTAAAAACACTTGGCCTACTTCTATAAAGTATCATAGCTTTTTCTATGCCCCGTTTGTATACACCACAAAACTCCAGATAGACTATTATTTTTCAAGTGCTCACTAACAAAGTGCTGACTTCGTTGGGATGGCTGAGCTAATTTCTTGAACTCAGTGTGAAACCTTAGCTAAACAAAATTGTGGTAATTTTCCTTAATTTGTAAAAGTGATTGGAGTGCAAACAAAATTTTCCTCTTGGGTCAATCCTATAATTTTCAATTAACTAAAACTAATCGTCAGGCGGGCACCAAACCTGCATTTTGTTTAAAGGGCTGGGAGGCATTTCCAAGGGTCAGGATGCATTAATTGTTTGGTTTTTTTTTTTTAAGAGAGAAAGAAAAAGTATTTTGCTTTAAGAAACATGGCTGGTTTGCTTTGCAGTATAATATTAAGTAGCAAGAAAGAGAAGATGGTGTGAGATAAAATGTCACAGTCAAAATAAAATTTATTTCCTTAATTGTATGTCTGTAATTAAAATATGTTAATAGAGTCATCCACTGACTGCCTTGGAATTTCTTTGTGTGCACACAGTCCCTATTTCTAGTTAATTGGGCCTTGTGTTCCTTTACTGGAGGAATATCCAAATATTTTAGCCATTTTCAGGAAATGCTACCAACAATTATCCCTAGTAATCTAGAGCTCCGGGTCCATGCTATTAGCACTTGGAACACGCCTGGCAGAGCTGTGGTCCTCTCTGTCTAATGTTATTCTCCCAGTTAAATTATTCAGTCTGTCACAAAGGATTCACCCAGCAACTCCAATAATCAGCATCCCAACAGAAGGCCACTCCATATGCTCAGGCAATTCCCAGGAGTGCCACAGTCCAAGAGACCCAAGGGCAGATTGGTGGGGATTGGAGTCGCACCCACCAGTCTTAAAATTTGAGGCCACCAATCACAGTCAAAAATGTTCTAATGAGGATAGAAGCTGGTTTAAAACAAAAACATCTGGTTGAGTAGTCAGACGTAAGTTTCACTTTCCCTTTTTACCTCTTAGAAGTATTCCTCTCCATCGTATTTCCTATGTTGCCACATTATCTAGGCAGCCAGCTGTTTCTACTGACCCATTTATGTCCCACGGACACTCAAATAAATTCTTAAATAACAATCTCACTATCAAACATGCACATGGTGGCATCAGGAGACAAATAACTCCTCATAGTAACAGGAGGTTAGGGAGGAGAGGGTCTCATTTCTAGTGGGCAAATAAAGTTCTCTGGGCTTCTTACCTGTGTAGATGAATCTTCCGGGTGTTCCTTTGCAGAACTGTTTGGATTTGTAAGACAATGTAACTTCTACAACACCAGGGATGTGTCTTGGAGGGGTCTGCACTCGGATGGCATGAGGAGTAATCAGCTGGAGGGAAACATTGAAAGGGAAATTGTCATTGTACTAAGTAGAGGCCTTATTTAGCAACTTTACTTATCAACTCCCAGAAAACAAAGCTTTTAAACTATGTAATTAACCTGTCAATGTTTAAATACAATATTGGTGTAACCCATATAAAAGACACTGACAACAATATTTACAAAAGCTCGCCTTTCAGCTATATCACCATCTCCATTTTCATACACAGCGGGCAATGCCACCTTCCTGACTTGAAAATCAAAGCCAGCCCAATATGATGAATTACCCAGAATAAGTTGTCCTTTTAAGACCCTTCGGTTGAAAGTGTCACCTAGATCTGAGCTAAGCTTTACCATGTCTCTCAGGAAAGTTGAATAGAGTTCATCAAAAACACAGAAAAGGCAGATGTGCAAAACATCAGACCAGGACTCTGATTAGCTTCAGAACACAAGCCTGAACTACTACTTTAAAATGGCTTACTACAAGTTAAATGATGGCTCTGGCATAATCCTAAGCAACACAGGAAAATGCAAATGATAGAGTATCTCCTCTGCCCTTTACCCAGCCACAAGTCCTGGGGAACTTAAAAGGATGATTGTAGTAAAGGGCTAGAGGGTCATTATTCAATTGTGCAATGATATCTGCAGTATGAGAAAATTTTGTCCTGATCCCTGCAGGCGATCAGATTACACCATGAAGTAGGAGAGGTTTTTTTTATTATTATTATTGTCCTTATCTTCATTTACATAACTTCAAATATTACTAATGGTCATAAAACTGATGTTATACTACTCTTTAAAAAAAAACCCAGCTCCAATAATGACATCTCGTGGTTCTGGATTTAATAAGTTGTCTCTATATGCTATATACAGAGACCCTCAACTGGGCTGGGATCCAGGAGGCAAAAGCTCAGCCACCAGCTAACTACCTATACCTGTATGGTCTTGTCCAAGTCCCTTGGTTCTCAGTTTCTCCATTTGTAATGTGAGTGAATTAGACTAGATGATCTCTTAAGATCCACTCCAATTCTATTCGTTCATCATTCCTTTCAGCTTAGTTTTGCTGTAAATTTACTGTCCTAATTCAGCATAAAAAGAACAAACTTATGGATTCACATTGGTTGTCCCCAGAATGTATTTCTGTGGAACTAAATGGAAAAAAAAATCTTCATTTCATTGGCATGCCCAATCTAGATCAACTTCTGGTGTTTCCATATAGCTTTGCAAAATACAGTCTTAGAAAGGACTGACAGGTTAGATATACCATTGATACAATCCTAATACCTATTTAACAAAGTACTCTGTGCAGAGTAAGAACTTTATTCTTTTTTCATTCCCCATCCATTCAACAACAAGCATTTATAAAGCACCAGCCAGGTACTAAGTAGGGCAGAGAGGTGGTGCACAGACTGGAGTCAGGAAGACCTATCTTTATGAATTCAAATCTGGCCTCAGACGACTTGTGTGATCCTGCACAAGTCACTTAACCCTATTTGCCTCAGTTTCCTCATCTGTAAAATAAGCTGGAGGAAAAAAGGCAAACCGCCCCAGTATCTTTGCCAAGAAAACCCCCAATTTGATCACAAAGAGTCAGACATGACTGAAACAATTGAACAAGGTACTAAGTACACAGATTCTATGTTGACAAAGTGATCTGAAATAGGATGGAGCAGAAAAGAGATCTACAAGAGCAGCAAATTAAAGCAAAAAAAAAAAAAGAAAATTTACATGTACTTTTATTTGTTACTTTCACAAGTAACTGTGAAAAATGTTCCTCTCATCCCCAAAGGGTAGATTAGAAGGTAGATTCTTTTCACACAGGGAAGTGTTTTACTTCAGTGGTTGGAATTTTTCTTCCTAGTCAGAGTCACATGTTAGCGATCATAAGGTCCAAACCCTGTATTTTACAGGATTAGAAACTGAGGCCTGTAGAAGGGAAGTATAATTGCCCAGGGTATGAAGCAAATTATTAACAGGGCCTGGACTGGAACCTATGTCTTCCCAACTATTCTTTTCTTCCATGAAATACAAGAATCTCTTACTAATATGATGAAGTGACTTACACACACACATGTAGAGAAATGCTATCATAAAATATCAGCTACCCTGGGACCTTTGGGAGAATTTGCTATTCTAAATAGCTGAGAGTTTACTACTTGAAGCACCAACATTTGTGATGTTGTTATTCTGAGTTTAACCATTTTGTATGAAAATCTTCTCCAAACTGCCTATAATTTGCCTGCCTTCTTAAAGAGACCACAAATAACATTATTTAATTTTTAATAACTTAGAATCACCATTAACAAAGTAAAAACAGCACTGGCAAAAATTGAAGGACTTGGATTTAAAACCAACTTCAAATGCGCACTATTTGTGTGACTTGGAAAGCCACTTGATCTCCCTGAGCCTCAGTTTCCTTGGTAGTAAAATAAAGGGATTGGACTAGATGACCCCTGAGGTCCCTCCCAGATCTAGGGAGATGATGATGATGATGATGATGATGGTCTTAGTTACAATAATATGTTAGTAAAATACTAGTGGAAGGGAGAGGGAATAAGCATTTATATAGTGCTAACCATGTACTAAGCACTTTTACAAACGTTTCACTTGATATTCACAGCAACCATGCAAGGAAGGTGCTGTCATTATTCCCATTTTACAGATAACAAAACTGATGCAAACGGAGGTTAAGTCCCATAGCTAGTATTTGAGGTTAGATTTGAACTCAGGCCTTCCTTACTCAAGATTCTATCCATTGCACTACTTAGATGTCAGCAGCGATGCCTTTAACACTCATGGAGGTAGATGGGGCAATCTTCCCTATTCTAAATGATGGCTGATTGCTGCACTTTTTTAATTCTTATTTATGCATTTTATAGTTTTTGACCTCCTCACTTGCTATGGTAATGATAGTCATCACTTCTCATTTTCATTACAGTATTTACCACTAGCATCCCCTCTCTATCAGATAGTTATTTCAGGTTAATGCTACTGTATTTGAAGAGTATTTTTTGAGATACATGGTATCAGAATCACCAAAAAAAAAAGCATTTGATGAAGTCTCTATCACTCTCCCTTACATAAAAATCAAGTTCAAACACATCAGTCATAATGTATAACCAGGTAAATCAGTAGAGGTGGAGTTTTTGTGCATGTATGAGGCTAAAGAATGATCCAAATCCTGACAACCCAACCAGCAGGGAAGGTTCAAAAGAAACAGCTGAAAAAATTTCATTAAAAATATATATATGGGAGAGGGAGGAGGAAGAGAGGAAAGGCATCCTAATTCCATTAGAAATATGGTGGAAAGACCTAGGTTTGCATCCTGACTGCCACTTATTAGCTATATGACCTTAAGGAAATTACGTCACCTCTTCACGTGTCAGTTTCTTCATCTATAAAATGAAAGACCTGAACTAGATAAATTCTAAGGTCCCTTCTATTTTTGATATTCGATGTTCTAAGCAAGGTCCCTTCCAGCTCTACCATTTTATGTTCTAAAGTTAATCAATCATTTATTAAGCAAACATTGATTAAACACCTCCTATGTATCAAGCATTGTGCTAGGTACTGAGGATAAAAAAACTATGAAACAATCCCTAGCCTAGAGGAGTCTCTCCCAGTTCTAACGTTCCTTGACTCTAGCATTCAATGACAAGAAATACTGTACAAAAAGAATGAATGGGAAGGAAAGAAGTGATTTGCAAGATCTCATAAAAGGGAAATTAAGACAAGATCGAGAGGAGAAAAAAGAATCCAGGATCATGTTTGAAATATACGATATTAAAATTAAAGGGGGAAAAAAACAGTCCCAATGTTTCCAAAAGCCACCTAAAAATTCTACCAGAACCTCAAAAAAATACAAGAGCAGCAATTTTCTCTTTGGGCTCTGCATGTAAGCATTTTACCGCTTTCAGACTTTCAGCACAGAAGCCCCTACTCCCCAGTGCAGCATAAGTGCCAGCCCATGGGGATGTGAGAAATGAACTAATGGAGTTGTGTGCACAGCAAGATAGATTGTATAGAGAGAAAAGTCCATGGGAGTGTGTGTATGTAAATGTATGTGTGTATGTAAGTGTGAAAGTCTGTGTCAAAGCAAGAGATGCTATATGTGTGAAAGGAAATAGAAATGGTGGAAATGAAATGTGGGATCTCCCTGACGGTCTGTGTTTGATGAAAAAAAAAAAAGAATGAGTACATAGGTGTGGGTATGAAGTAAAGTGGAATTGTGAGATTGTTAAGCAATGATGAGCAATGCGGCATAATTCCTGGCAGTTTTAGAAGACTTGTGAAGTCCTTTACATGCATTAATTTATTTGATCCTCACGACAACACAGAGAGGTAAGCGCCTTAGATATTGTCTTCATTTTATAGACGTAGAAACTGAGGCTAAGAGAAATTGAATGATTTGCCCAGGGTCCCACAGCCAATAATTACCTGAAGCAGAACGCAAACATGAATCTTTCTGATTCTAAATCCAGCACTATACACCCTATCTCTCTAGGTTAGTTTCTCAAGAAGTTCCATTTACTTCATCAGATAGCAAAGGTAATATCCATACATGCAATAAACCACAGGATGCTTCATAAAAAAAGAAAGAAAGAAAGAAAGAAAGAAAGAAAGAAAGAAAGAAAGAAAGAAAGCTAAAACAATTGATATTATATGTGAAAGTCCACTGAGCTTGGTTGAAAAATGATCTACAAATCTTAGATGTTATTATTTTCTTTCTTTTCTCTAAACTCCTACCACATTTATTTCCTGCACCATAATACTCTGTGCTTGACTACAAAGTTTCATGTGTGTTAAGTCTTATCTCTCCACCATGAGCTTCCTTAGGGCAAGGACTATGTCTTAGGCTTCTTTGAATCCCTGTCAGTATCTGGCATGAAGTGGGACAGAAAACAAGTGTTAAGAATAACACCTATAATATAATATAATGATAATAAGGTGATCATAATAGTTATTGGCAATTTTTGAAGATTAAAAGTTGCAGAAAAGGTGCCAACCTGC